GAATTTAAAAAAAACCACACGCTGTTTTAAGAAGTTATGTACGAAGAAATCCTTGAATGCAAAGCCTCTGCAGTAAAACCTTATACTTCGGTGATATAAATTGGGAGTCTTAATTTTGTCTCATGTGAAATCATTGCGCGAAATCACGGGTTATCGGAGCCTAAATCCACTTGATGAATGGACAGTGTAGTTTTCATTGCAGACAATGATTCAGCAGTACAGCAGTGCATTTAATCAGTCAAACGTTTCCTGAATTCTTTCCAAACGCACTCACAGATGTTTCCTGTGTTTGCTTCCTTCTCTTCTAGGCACTCAACTGACATGATTCCTTGGGGGAGGGGGTTTGGGAGACAGTGATTGGGACTTTAATTTTTTAAAATTGTTGTCGATCTAATAAATATGCTAGCAGTAGGGTAGACTGAAGATTGAAACCTGGTTAGTATTTGGCAAATCCGTTTCAGAAATAGGCAACTCAATTATTACCAGCACAGGTTAGGAGATTTTAGGCGTAAACATTAAAACTCAATTGTGGGCTCAGTATGTCCTGAACCACGCCGGGGCCACTGAGTTGGATCTAGTCCAGTTACGCTTCTCTGCTACCCGCGGCGAAGAAAAAGACCGGAGAGGACGTGGACACAACCGTTTACTTCAGAGCACAACCAAGTTGGTGTCGTCGTGTCGTGGGTGGCGTTTGCGCGTGTGTATTTATACCTCAGGTGTGTCAAACAGCGTGAGTCATAAATGTGCTAACATCGAGACCCAGGTGTGAGGATAACCTAGGATAATCGTTCGCGCCAATGAGGTGGAAGGTGAGGCTAAACGGGCCTGACGATGTGCTGTGAAAAGGGGGGACATTATGTCGGAGGCTTGAGTGATCGGATTAACAAATGTAAATCAACACGATTCATCACAGTACCAAAAACACGATTCAATTCCAACCACTCCATTCAAGCTACACGATGTTGTGCTAGTGAACATTAAAACTTAGTTCAGTAATTTTCAAATCGATCGACATACGACGGGGTCCCAATGTGTTCCTCTCAGCACTTGCTATTTGAAGACAATTATTCTAAATTTGTGTAAAATTTGTAAAACTTGTTAGCAAAACTGGACTGTCAGTGAAACAGCCCCCAAAAAACAACGATACACGAGGTGCAAGCCACGCTTTAACGCAGCGTGTTAAGCGAAAGTGGACAGCTGAACTTTCAAAGGTCACTAATTTCACAGTCTTAGCGACCACCCATGCTTCCAGTACACACCCCAGTCCAAGAAAGTGGATTTCATCCCACTCCACGCCTTTGCACGATCAAGTTTTCCAACACTACGAAACCTAACTCCTTCGAAGTTTGATTTGAAATATATATTGGATAGGGGCTGCGAATCGTTTAATGTCGATAAGTGATCTTCTTTACCACATGCTCCAATACCGGCATTGATAAATGCCGAAATTTTTTGTAGAAATTTTTCATAGAAATTTCATATACCCTATGCGACATTTAAAAGCTCTTTCCATGTGCGAATGATATATTTAAGTCATTGTGATCTCCATCAATTAGTCACTTGTGTTGAAGTAAATTACGAAGACCGCAGTCATTCATGACCACAGCACTTCTCCAAGTGTACCAACACTGATATGCAATATAGAATTTAAGGCATATCTGCAATAAGCCTAGAAATTTGCATAGCCTAACAATTGACATTGGCATGAAACAGTACTATTTTTGCATGTACAGTGAAATTTACCTGTTTGTCTGCATTACTAGCTGCGTTTAATAGGCGTTTCCCTTGGGTAATTCAAAAATTTTCACCAGTGAACTGCCCTAGTCGTTCAGGTGACTTTCCTCCTTAGCAATTCCACGACACGACACAACAGCACTGTTTTTGACCGGCGAAACGATCCTGCTAAGCGAATAATTAAGGAGGACATAAAAAACAAGCGACAAATAACAACACTTTTGTCTGTCCCCAACGTTGTCGAATGCTGCCGTTCTGGGAAGACTCAGTAAACCAATTAGCATTTAATTTGTCGTCAAGGATCTGCGCTTCCGATTAACAAACAGTGCAATCTGCTTGCGAAGTGTCTTTTCAATAACGCTAATTTATGCTAGATTCCAATTTCTGTTCGTATCTCAAACGAATCACTTAGTTTCTTAGACCAGTCTCCAACATTAATTAGTAAGAGACGGGCTAAATTCGTGCTATACATTGCAAGAACTCCATGCTTTGCACGCGTTCAGAGGTTTACGAGTAGAGAGTTTAGCTGTGTTCAGACTCGGATTGGCTGAATGCTTTGGGAATAACGGTTGGCTGAGTAAGCGGTGAACAATTTACTGCTAAGATGGAATGCAGACGAGGTTTCAGGGGTGCGTCTACGACCTTAATGTGTGTGTGAAGTGGCATTAGCTAGGATGCACTGATCCATGCAAAAAATTCACTGAATGACACTACTCATCCAAAGTCACATTTTGTGGTCATCTACGGTAACAGGAGGCAATGATGAGTCTAAAAGAGAGGTGTTAGCACAACAGAATAGAGCAGAAAGAAGAAATGCGCTTACAATGGGCAACACGTAACCGCCTAAGTGGCAATTTGGGTGTGGATGTGCAAATAAGCGTCATGTAGTTTTGGTTCAAAGTCAAGTCCTCTGGCTCTTTTGAGATAAATGTTGCTTGTAGAACAAATTGTTCATTCTCCGCAAGCCACAGTTGAGTTGTCCGCCCTAACATGAGTTCTTAGAAGGTTCCTTCACGAATGCGTCTGACGTACAGGTTCTTAAGTACACTATTCTGTAAGTTGCGAATATTGGGTGTTTTATTTGATGACATAGCGCATTCTTTCTCTCAACGTTCAAAGCCATTTTTACTAAAGGTCACGTTGTGCCATAGATTCATTCCTGTAGATACTAGGAGGTCCAGTTGTCTATTGTACAGATTTTTAATTTTTTTGGAAGAAGTCCACATAATCTGAAGGAAGCACGGGTCTTTTGATGTCAAGCCTCTCCAAATCGTTAAAGGTGCAAGCAGGAAATTGGACTATAAATAGCAGACAGTCAGTGACAATGTTTCTTGCCACGATTGTACGCTGCTTAGGCATTACTTAGTGTCTCCCGTGCGTGGTGGGATGCAGTATGGAGCATAGCAGAATGAAATATCAACATACGACTCACTTTCACAATTTTAACACCTACTTACAAATGTCATATTTCCAAGTCACAAGCACTGTGTGGTGATCCACTATATAAATTAAATAAACACATAGATGTAACCTAGCCTGGTTGGTGAGGCCTTCAACCATTAATGATGGAACTCCAATTCAAAACATAATAGGCTATCAATTAGTCAATTTTCTTTCGAATCGTTCACAAAAGGTGACCGTCGAATGTCCCAATCTCTGTGCTGTTCTGCTCTTGGTGTCCCCCGATCGATCGTCTGAATAATATATTATCCACCGGTTCAGCATGTTGTCACCTTCGCAATGAGGTAATCAGTAGATTCAACACAACTGAAAAGACTTCTGTAAAAGCAGCTAAGTGCTTAAAAAGCATGGACAACGGCGTCTCGACTTGTTCACCTGCTTTGGTGTGGATTAAAATATACAAGCATTCGATGACAAATCTGCATTGAGGTAAGTAATTGCAAGATCTCCAACACGGCCAGTGAGCCTTGTCCACAAATTTTGACTAAAAGACCTTAAAATATTCGGCTCGAGCCATCGACCTCGTACTCAGGCTTCTTGAACCTGCTTCCGATCCACTATTCTTGTTCGATCAATGTAGAAATGTTATCAACGAGATTGGTTTTTTAATTAGTACTCTGCTTCTTAATGGAATGCTGCGCAGTTTGTCTACAATTGCTTTCTTTTCACCAAGAGACCGAATAAAATGCCCAGCTGCTTGTATTACTTCCCATGTCGCATCCTTCGTATCCTAGCAACGTTTGCATTCTTAAAAAAAAACATGACAAGCGAACGAGACTATGAAAGCCTTTCTGTATGCCAGCGGCTGTCAGAGAAATAAGCCAAATAGACCGGAATTATTGTTTAAGTGGGGTCTCTGTTTGGCTGATTCATGTCCTCACAATGTGTGCCGAGCCTACGGAATTTCCAGAGCAGATTTTGCAAACACACGAAGCTGACATCCTATTGCGCGAGTCCACCTTGTGATGGGTGAGCATAAGTTTCCCAGGCACCAGACCTTGGACTAGTACTACCGCCAAACCAGCTTCATTTTCGGCCACTTTTCCGCCAATGAACGGGCTGTTTCTGAAGCTACACGTAAAACATAGCAAATTTGTATAACGAAGAAAATTACTTTGAGTTGTGGCAATTTATCGTTTGCTCTGGTGTAACACGAGTATGTCTATGAAGCACGCACACACACACAGATTTACCGTATCCGTTCTGTCGAATTTACACTACCAACAATCGCTCAGATCATGGCCTCTCAATCTCGAGCAAGAATAACGCAACAATCCACAAAAGTGACTGTTCAGTGGAACCTGATCGATTTGACTGTTCCCCCATCCCACCCCACTGAAGTCTTTTGTATGATAAAAGTAACGCAGGATTTTACTTCCCAATGCAAAGCTGACATAAGAAAAGTGGATGAGAGAATGCAGCTGTGTGGAGTTGGGGGGTTGCGATGGTGCTGTTTTCATAATAACAGGCACGCGCGAGCGCGCGCGCGGGTCACACACACAGCGATTGTAACTGCCCCTTGTATATATCTATACTTATTGCATAGGTATAAATATCCTAGAGAGCTGAGGCACGTTGCTGTCACGGTTCGTGGGTTTGCATAGAATATGGGGGGAGAGAGAGGAGGGGGGAGGGGAAATAAAACTGTACACAGCAGTGTCAAACTACTACGAGGGGGTAGGGGTGGGGTGTGTTGGGAGGGTGGGAGGCAAGATGCAGCCATGGGGAACAAACGCTGGATGCGGTAGGCAACAAGGCCAGACTGGAAAGACTCGGTTGGATGTACGCGTCGGGCTGGCGGCATATCAGTCAGCGGTGTCTCCTCCAAAAACGTCATTTGCCACATTCGCAACCTTCGGCTGCTGCGTCTGCTGTGACATTGCTTGCATTTGTTGCTGTAGGTGCTGCTGCTGTTGCTGTTCTCGTTGCAGCGTCGCCTGGTCCGAGGCTACCTGGGATAGTTCCATGGCTCTAGGGATGTCATATTCATGGCTACCTGCGCCTGAATAGGCTGAACCGGGAGGGGCAGGCCACTGAGGAATCGGCTGCATGCCCTGAAGCCCCTGAACCGTCAAGCTGGGCTGTAAAAGGGGGGTCGCGGCGGAAATTGGCATTAGCTGGGCACTTGTTGGACTGGTTATCAGCGAGGCGGTTGGGGGAATATGGGTGGGATAGGTGACACCGGATGCGGAGGCGAGGTAATGATTATACAGGGGGTAGGCAGTAATGCCATCACAACCTAGGGACTGGAGGCCTCCGTTACTGTTCCCCCCGTTCGTCCGTGTGGTGGCAGTTCCACCTAACCCCATCGTGTCTGGCTGCTTTGATGTCGGCGTGTCATACGTCGACGGCCTGCTTCCGATTTCCTTCGAGAGGTGGTTTGAAATGGCACGGTGTTTCAACAGCAGCATGCATCGGGACCCAACCAGGAGGACAACCAAGGTCACAAGGAACGTTCCAATCACGGCACCGATCATTTCCAGCAAGGTGTACTGCTTTTGGAAGAGAAAGTTTGAATGAGCATACGCCACATTGCTTGGCGATGTGGGGCCGCCTTCCTTGACTTTGGGGTCCAGCTGGGTGGGTTTGTCGTTGCTGAAGTCAACTGCGGAATCCTTGTTTCCGCCTTGGAATTCGACTAGTGCTGGAAACACGGGACCGCGGATGGTCACAAGAACCTCTTGATCATTCTCCTTCTCGTCCCAGGTAATGCAGGTAAATTGCCTACTCGCTTGGGAGAGAGAGACGTTCAGCTGGACCGTTGTCATGGTTTTCTGCTCTTCGTTAGCACCAAAGGTTGGATCAAATGGCTGCGGCAAGTCGGAGGGCATACCAGTCACCTGACGCAACTGGCCTGACTCCTTGTACTTCCAAGCCACGGATGGTGGCCGAAGTCTTACCACTGGGTGGTACATGTATGGTTCCAGCTCTCCATAGCGAAAACCTCCGTGCTGGGCACCGACGTCCATTCGATTGAAAGCAACGGCGGTGCAGCTGAGGGTCGCAGCCCTCCCAGCGGACGCGATATCGACACCGATTGACTGAATTCGAGAGGCCATGCAGAGGTGATCTGCGGAAAGTTTCTTCAGCTCAACTCGCGATCCAGGTCCCCCGATCCGTGGATCAACGATGCAGGTGGTCTTGAGTGTTGGCGATTGAACCACCCATTCCTTAACCCGACGGACCAACCAGGCTAGTTTGCAGGAGCACTCCAGTGGATTGTCCGTTAGATCAAGCATATGATTTGAATTATCGAAGTAGGTCGCAAAAGTCGGATCCAGCTGCCGAATCTGGTTGTTCGAGAGGATCAACTTCTCCAGACCTTTGACCTCCGAGAAGAGCGAGAAAGATATGTCAGAGATGAAATTGCGTCGAAGGTCTATCCTAGCTGCTGAAAGACCGTAGAAGGCTTCACTTGTAATCAGCAGGGGTTCGGGGTCAGTTGGCGGACCGTACAAGTAGGGATCCTGTTGAAGGCGCTGCTCTTGCAAGTACAGAGTCTGGAGGTTCAAGCCGTAGAAGGTGCGGGGCTCGATTCGGTAGAGGAGGTTGAGCGAGAGGTCCAGATCGCGCAGGTTGGTCATTCCGAGAAAGGCTCGGCTCTCAACAGACCTCAGCTTCGAGTTGACAATCCGGAGACTGACCAGGTGGGTGAGACCGGTGAGGTTTTTGGCGCTAAGGTGGCCCGGTTCGGGGAAGACGCCACCCTGGATCACGAGTTTCCGCGTGCCCGGTGGCAAATTTGTTGGAATTCCCATGATTCTGTCCTGCGGGCTGCAGTCCACAACCGCCTCGGCCCTGGAACAGTAGCATACCCCATCGCACAGGCGCGGTTCAATGTATTGTCCACTTGAGGTGGGCAGGGAAGTGCTGAATAACAGCAGCAGGATGAAGGCTGCCAAAGTTGTCTCCATGGTTATTTTACCTAAAATGCAAAGTAGGCTATTCGCCATCAGGCAGGTGCCCCGTTTTGCAGTGAACTGCAATGCTTTGTGCAACAAATTGCCTTGTCAGGGGTAATTAAAACACCAACTTGTTTCCGTAATTGAACCAACCGTCAAGGAAATTTAATTATCTGCACGCAAGCAACATCTGATAAGAGGTTGTCCTACTACGCGTTTTTTGGCACGCTATCGACCAATTTAAACAACTCAGAGATCGTGCAAAATACACCAGTCTAGATTTATAAGACTGTTCTAGTATCAAGTCAACCTCAAACCCACAAGCCCATGTGTGCGCACCAAAAAAAACATGTGTTTTTGTGCTCTCGGTAATGCTTTAGGTGACATCATAGGGTGATTATCTCAGCACTAACCCTAGCATAATCACAACTCCACTAGTGATCATTAAGACACTACGAGGCGTCAATTCGTGCGTCATACGTTCTTTAATTTGAAATGACACTGGATTATTATACTACTTAAACCGGCACTCTAAGCCTAAATGAGCTTGGCAGGTGTGGGAAACCATACAACGTGATTTCATGGGTGCAAATGCCTTTGTGTAAGAGGCAAATTTAAGTGAATTTGACTACACGATAAATCGACGCTATCAAGCCAGTATCCAACAATCTATTCAAGTTCTATCAACTGAATTTGCATAAAAGCGCCTTGGTGCTCCGTTGGGTCGATTAAAAAGGATCACAAATATTAGTAATTAGCCATTTCATGCAAAACTGATAATCTCAACTTTAAAGTAAAATGGTAACCAGAAAAAAATGCATCCAGCCCGATGTTATTACAACTACAGGCAGGAAAAAATTTGTTTTGAGGTGGGTTAAAAAGTTGCGAGGCTCACAAAAGGTATGTCACACAGACAGAAAGAGATGAGACAGTCTGATCTAGGGGATAAAGATTAATTAACGCTGCCACCACGCGACCAGAATCGAAGCAAACGGCAATTAACGCACTATCCGTGGAAGTTCCAGCAAATCGGGGTAGCGGTCGGCATTTTTAAAAGGACGGGGATGCATTACTCTCGGCTGCTCCAAAAATTGACGTTAAGGGATTAAAAAATTTCAGAATTTTCAAGTAAGTTAACTTTTACTGCTTCAGATGGTAGTCACACGTCTGAAAAATGACAAAAAGAAGTATTTTAACCAAACGTTTTGACAGGTTATTGGAGGGAACATCTTGTACACTTTTGGGGGGGGGGCAAGATGACACGTATTTCACCTTGTCAAATAGAATAAAACTGAGATTCAATTGGAAAAATGAGCGTTAGCAATCCAGTGCAAGCACACGAAGAGCCTGTTGTGTGAGGCAAGGAACAACCAGGTGTCGTGGGGGGCAGAAATAATATGCCAGCAATGCCCCTGATGTGTGGAGAGCAATTTTTCCGTAGTTTTTTCTTGCATTACTGTTTCAGAGTGTGTCTGAGGCATTAGATTTATGAAGCCATTAACACGCATTGTGACATTTTAGCTAAAGTTCGTCGAAGATGCATCTACAACCGCCGTTGAAAGAATGGCAATTTTCGAAACAAAAAATACTAGGAGGTAGTTCCTGGAGGTGAGTTTTTAAACAATTACTGGTGGCCAAAACTCGAGAATACTGACCGCTTTTGGAGTGTGTTAGTTGTGACAAGGGGTACATGCGTTTTTGACTCAATCGCCGTTAAAATTGCGGTTTGTTGACCATGCGGACGGGCTCCGAAGTAACCGATGGCAACGGAAATGACGATTAGCACGTGTAAGTCGGAAAATGTTTTGACGGGTGAAAGTCAAATGACCACCTATTTTCCTAATGATGAGTGATTTAATTCAGTTTCAGCCTTATCCCTGGGGAGGGTTTGCTGACTGCGTTTCCAACCTCGTAAAAAACAATCGTTCCCCGGAAAAAAAGGCATACACACAAAGCCGCTGATGAAAAGTGAACGAAAAAACGAGTGAGCAAAAGGTGGACATATTCCCCTACCGCATCTTCCTCCTCCTTCTCCTCCGCCGCCTCCTCCTGCTTCCAAATCCACAAACCCCAACCCAACGCCGCACAAGACTATTTTAGTGATTAATTTTTAAGCAGACTCACTCTCCAACCTTAAAATCTAAACGACAGCTTCCATTCCTCTCTCTCTCTCGCCAAATTTCCCCAGCCAAGCCCGAAGAAAGAGAGCACCAGTCAGTCCGACCGTGTGTGTGTGTGTGCTGGGGAGGGGGGACGGTAAGCCGCAATGGCTGGAGTCACGGAAACGGTTGTAGCGGCTGCACGCGGCGGTAGCTTTGACAACTATGATTCACGCAGACCGAGGTCCTTCTCTCTTCCCTTCTCTCTCGCCCTCCCGCCCATTCCCCGACCTACCTCCCACCCGCCTGCATCTTGAGTTACTACTTTTACTGAGCAAACGCACACGCATTCACACACACACACACACACACATTGCTGCAGGTCGTAAGCAGTCTCGATTTCGCGCATGGAAGAAGAGGACAGCGTACGCTCCGGATTCTGCCCACCTGGTTTTCGCGACTGTAACACGCAAACCTTAGAAGCACCCAAAACTCATCCACAGTATTACTCAACTTGGTACCTGCTGAGCAATTAATAATGAATAACAAAGGATTGCAACTCACGCTACACTGGCAATCGCACTGGCCTACGTCAAGGCGGGCGTTGTCTTCGAGGCTTTGCAGCCAAGCCCTCAAAACACGGAGACTCAGACAACGGACAAAAACCGTTACTGCTGTTGGTATTTGTCAAATGGAAATAAAAAAAACTAAGAAAGAAGGCATCAGCGCAAGCTCAGATGTGTCCTGGTCGTTGAGACCGTGCGTTAATGACCATCTCCTGCCGGACCTGGCAGAACACGTTTCTGCCAGACAGCAAACGAGGCCTCGTCGTGGCTTTGTTCCGTTAAGCTTTGTGCTCAGGTCGCAACGGGTTGCTTGACTGGTTGGTCATTAATTTATCGCACGCGATGGTCGTGGATGGTGGCTCTTTTTTAATCGTGAAGAAAGTGACAATGACAAGGCGTCCGCACAGCTGGTAAAAAAACCAACCGGGGTTAAGTTCTGTGTGTGAATGTATGGGGGGGGGAGTCCATAACCATTGGCGTAGCCCCCTCACCCTCCACGTACCACTACAATTCTGTGATGGATGCGGGGTTCCCGAGCTAATTAAGGAGTTTTTAAGGCGACACAACGAGTGTACACCGAAAAATTCGCATCTCATCGGCCTTCAAGGTAAAATCGCGGAGAGACACGTGTTCCCCTGGGCACAACGACAATCAGTTAAAGGGAATAGTTGGAGCCAAGTCATAAAACGACCAAATAAGAATGAAAATCTTGCACGCAAGCCACATGGAGTACCTTGTGAGCAGTGGTTGAAAGGTGCACCTGAGCTGAAATTGCTTTTTAGTCAGAGATGCTGAGATAAACACTTACAAACTGCTTCTGCGAATGAAGTTTGACTTCCGCCGGCCTACAATCGCTGTCTGAGCTAATGCACAGCTTCCTTTGCTTGCAAATCATGCCGGCACATCGTGGGTGGAGGCTAGACGTTCTCGAGACAGCGTCAACCACCCCCTTACCGTCTTCCCCCAAGAAAAACCAAGCAGCGGGAAACAAAAATTCGAGGTAGTTGAGGTCGGACTGGTGCAGAGATTAACCGAAAGCCTTCACGCACGCGCGTACCCACAACGGCTCAAGCGGCTAGAGCCCATCAAATTGCATTAAATTTCGTGGGTAAATTAATTAGGCAAGCGTAAGGGCAGCAGTAGAGTGGATAGCGGGACAAGGAAGAGGAAGAGGAGAAGGCGGTGGATTGGGAGGTGGTGACAACAGAAGCAGGCAGGATTTCCTTGGCCATCACTTCCTCCCACTCTTTCTTTCGAAACACGAGGCATGCTTCCGTGAGTGCAGCTGGAAGTTTGGCGAAATTAATCCTAGGAGTTGACACCGTGACAAATTCGCTAAATTCAAGGTGCCCAAGTCTTTAACTAAACGCGCAGAAAAGGAGAACCTACAGCTTTCCTAGTGCCATTCATGTCATAAATTATTGCTGATACATCAACGCCTTAAAAGGTCACACTGACAATGCTAGTGTACAAACAGGGGACAGAGAATTCAGCTTGTCGGCCATTTGGTCGCACACGTACTTGTCCAAATCAGCAGTCCTTTTTAGGTGGAGAAAATGCTTCATTTTTGAAGTGAAAACATGGCATAACACGCACACATGATTCACCATATGTGCATTAGGCACTTACGCATCAGACCTCAACACCGTCTGCAAGGGTGGGGTCTTCGAAAAGAGGGAGAGTCATGCTAATTTAGCTTGGATGAACGTTTCGCCTTCAAGCCCTTAAGCTCAGAGCTCGAGTGTGGGAACATACTTGGTTACTGCTTAAGCTACCTCCAACCGGAATCTTGAGTAGATGACAGGGTAAACATCTATTGGGGGTCACGATTTCACCACTGGTTCAACAAAATTGGTTGGTGAGATGGGTGGCGTTTTTGCTTTCTTCGAGATGACGTTTTCAAGTAGTGTTCCCACCACTCTCACATGACTCACAAGGCCTTCCCTACCCACGTATACCCGTTTTTTTCGCCTAGGAAACACACTCCGACACGACACGTTGGGCCTCTTTTGTGAGTCACCGCAAGGACCACTAGTGGTCACTTGCAGGGCTGGGATGGGTTTTGTCCTGTGGGAAGGGGCACCAAGTCGACGACGTCGTAGTGTTTTCAATAATTAATGTTATTTATTACCAAAAAAGGCGATTATGGCCCTGCGTGTCGGCACTGCAATAAATTTCCACGCGAGAACTCCAAACAGCATTCCTAATGGCGCGCCATGCTCGGTCTAGTGGCGAGCAAAATTCAGTGCCAAGGGATACAAATCCCAAGACGTTGCTTGCGGCAGACGTAAGTCGCTTCTTGGTGAAAAGGGATCGGTGTTTGTCGGAGTTTTGATACAAATAACCTGAGTGCTCAGTGTGAGGTGAGTGACTAGCTGTAAGTAAAGCTGTGCTGGACCTTTAGACAAATGCATTCAACAGCGTGGGCAGTTGCGTGTCGCCTGATGCCGGAAGTGTGGACAACCAACGGTGGAACAAAGGCGACAGTTTGAAAAAAAAACTACTAAAGTGCGTTGATCTCGTGCGTAGTCTGCAGTTAACGCAAAATTCCACACCTGGAAGCAGAAGTAAGACGTCTTCAGCGATTTGCCCATTGCAACTAGAAATATGGATGTGCATATCCTTTTCCGCGGTTATTACCCCAGACTGTCCTGTTGACCTCTGAGGCTCTGTCCTCAGCACGAATAGAGGTTAGGAATAGCACATTGGCCATTCATTACCAGTACATGAGCCTGCAAATACCGTGCGGTCAGGTTGAAGAGCGTTATTAATTAGCCCTGCCCACCTTGTTAGGTGGCTAGAAGTACACCCCACCAATCATATTAAGTGCGTAATTTAGGGCTCCAAATAACACAGACAGAAGAAACGGAGGGTTTTTTGACACACTGGAAGGCGTAATGGGTGCCTTGAAGTGATTATAAAATAACAAACTGTTTTCTGAAGATGACAAACAGAACGAAAACCAAAACCAGAGTTGGATTTGGCGGTTAAACACAAAAACCTACATCAAAAAAGGAGGACGACTACCGTGGACGGGATTTGCAGTTTAAGGTCAAATGCGACTCTTAGTGCAGCGTTGGCCGGCCGGCATTCTGTACAGGGATAAATTTTACTACCCATTACCTGATCCCCTTTTCTGTTATTCACCTGACGACAAACAGTTGAGGGGCAAAATAAAACAAAAACTAATTTTAGTACAAAATCACCCTGCGTTAATGGCTGTGAATTCCTTCGAGTAGAACGGAGGCATGACATAAGCCCCTAGTTGTTAGCTCCAAGCGATTTAAAAAAATTGTCGTTTAGTTGTGCTAACTGAAAGCTAAAACATGGAATAATAAGTGTGCATTCTTGGGTAGGAAGTGGGCATCAATAAAATAAAAAACCCAGTGGCTGGGCAGGAGAAAATCCGACTTTTATACCCGGATAGCATGGAGGGAATTTCGTCAATGGCCCTATAAATGTGCAGGCGAACTGTGTGAAAGTTTGGGTTGGTGTAAAGGGAAGCAGAGCAGGAGGCTGAAGGAAAACCAAAAATGTCACTTTTATTGGCCCTCACCTTTTTTAGGCTTTTTTGGTGTTGTCGGGCTGAGAGTTGCCACGCAAAAACGTGATGACAAAAAAGCTGCTCTGTCAACCTGAGTCTGGATTTGAGAATTTCAGAATTGTAAGAGTTAGATTATTCTTGCGCCGTTAAATTTAAGCACATTATAGTGAAAGCACAGTATTCTAATTTGAGATTGAAGGTACGTTTGGAGTCATGGGTTTGGTCTTAGGGCGACAATCATCCAAGTTATCTGGCGATTGCTTGTCTAGAGACTGAAGCTAGCCCACTTGATGACAGAGAAGCACTGATAATGCAACCCGGCATTAGTGAAAAGGATGAGAGTTGCATACGAGGAGCATTTGGTGAAATTGTTGCCCGCGCTGACCCGGCAGCACCAGCAGTTCACTGACCTCGAGTTGGCGAGCATCTTATGCCGACGTGCAAATGCTAATGAACCTGTGTCCAAAAATTCGGTTCTTAGCGAAATTTGAGATTCGATACACTCAGGAACACACACGCGCGCGAGCACACACACAGGAACACACAACACCTGCGACAATTCACGCTTGTGAGTTTTGGTGAAAATATACTGAAAGATGTCCAGAGTCGCCTGAACAGTGATTTGCATTTACTTTAAACGTTACCAGGCTTAAACCCAAGAAAACGGGCGAAAGATCTAGTGGCGGTTATGGTTGAGACAACAGATCAGAACATAAACGTAATTTCAGTCCACTGAAGCGGACTTGGCAGTAATTCTAGAAAAGTCCAATTAATTAAAGCGTAAATGTGAGGTGACAGGAAGACAAGGCTTTTTTACATCACCGTCAGATGACTAGAAAATGTATCTTCTCAAATCAATAGTTGCCCAACGGTGCCAAAAGGTCAAGTCAGACAGATATGGAATCAACCTAGAAACAAAAATTCCCTATTCTGAGAGCACATCACGGTAAAACAGAGCACTAGAATTTCCAAATTGCTAGATTTGTCTATTAGCTTGGTATAGTGGGCTTAAATTCTGCACACGAAATATTCGTTCACGGAACCTCACAGGCCTTTGGATTCCTTTCAAATAAGTATCCCATTAAAACGCCTGGAATTTGTAGGAATCAGCATCTCTCGGGTGAATTCCCAACACGCTACAGATTTTGAAGGTGTTAACGCCTTAGAGGATTCTGCGATGCCTCAAATTGTAGTGGTTCGCGCTGAAATCTAGTGAATAAAAGGGATAGGTGAAGTTCGAAGTCTTCTTCTTGCAATGCATTTGCTTTGTGTGACTTTGCGCTGCCACACACACACACACACACACACACACACTTCTTCGACCTTTTTCATAGCCAGAGACGCATTTATTTAAAATAATCTTACCCCTAAACCAAGAGGTAGCTTTAATTCGTTTGCCAAGGTTGAAGTGAACAGAGATATTTGGGGAAGGATCACTTTCCATAACAACACATTCATTCTTTTTAGTTGAATCAGAGGAATTAGAATGTGGTGAAAATCACTAAGACTAAGGAATAACCCGTCCCCTACGAAAGTCTCATGGGATATTGAACAGCAACCTGCTAAGTGCCTTCTCCGGAAGAAATGTGTCCGGGCAAATAACTTAGACCCCACCAGAACGTGTTTTATGACTTGACCTCACACTGTCGTGCACTTCTCGTTAAAGGATGAACGTAAAATCACGTCCCACCGATCCTTCGACGTGACAGCTAGAATGAATGGCTATACCTGTTAACAGACCTCGTGCCCCGAGGGATGTGAGCGACGGATTATCTTTTAGCAAGCGGGAACTCATTTCGTGCTTGGAAGTGCCAAAAGATGGTGAAACGTGTGCGCGTTTCACCACAACCTTAACGCCTACAGATGCGCGCATTCACGCCATGAATGCGTGCGTGTGAGTGTGCGGATGAACGCCTGAGAAGTTTCAACACAAGTCGTATAAACAAACAATGACATGCTGACGATTTTGGCGCTTGCCGCTTTACTTGAAAGCCACCGCCTACCGTGAATTGACAATTCAACAGATGTTCATCGTTGTTTGGGCCGCCGACAGGTGATACTGAGGAGGCAGTTCGCGGGACTTGTTAATGTGCGTTCGCCGATTAGTACCGAGGAATCCCAGTGAGCCAATTAGGAATAAACGAAGGAGTTTTGGCAAATCAGCTTCGAGGCTACTATTCAAACGAACCAATCACGTTTCGGCTTACTCTACTTTCGCATTCAGCAGAAATGGCGCCTTTCCAGTTACTATTGGTATCTATTAATGACTACGTTTGCTTGAGAAGACGAATACTGTAACATTTTTCAGCACTATAGACCAATTCTGGCAGTGGGGATTGTCTAAGATGAAGGACAAGAAAGCGTATGTGTAAGCAGCTCTTTCACACGCACAAACACATGCTCTCCTATGACAAACCAAATGTGAAGGTCGCACATGATTCCCAAGAGCCCCGAGCAATGTGGTCAGAGCTGCTCTGATGGCGTTTTGAGAGATAAGGCGAAAAGAGTTGGAGATGGGAGGAGATAAGTGTTCACGCTAGCCTAGTACGGGGCGATGAACACGAAAGTGGCCTGTCAACTGTTTCCAGCGTCCCTTTTCGTTCGTCACGCAAAAGACTGAACATGAAACGACTATTGCATATTCACAATATAGCGGTAAAGTGGAAGGAATTCAAGATAATTTTACTTAAACTTGCTTATGCCACCAGTAAAGTGAAAGGAGTTGATATTTTGGCTGCGATTAACACGACCTTAAAAGCCACATTTTACACACACATGAAACAGGTGGCGAATTCCGGAGCGGGCACATCGGGTTCCGGGAACAATAATGTTGAAGTGTACATCACGCCTTTCCAGGGGCTGCTGTTGTGCGTGTAAATGCCAGTGTGGTTTGCAGGGAGGCCCCACCCCCTTCTCGAAATGCGCCGACAAGTTGGGGGGAGGGATGGGTATGTGGGAGAACCACGTGCGCTCGCCCGGACAGGTACGTGGCAGAAGCACACGCTGGCATAGCAACCACCTCGGAAATGTGTCTGCAAGAGCCGCGGCACTACCCAACTGTTGCCGCCACCGTCAGTTGGTGTACCTTGGGGAGGGGGCGGGGCAAGAGATGGGTTGGAAATCGCGAGGAGGGGGGTGTGAGTGCGGGCCATTAGGAGTTTGAGGGAAATTGAGAGGTGTGTGTGTGTGTGTGTGCGTGCGTGTGTTCGTGCCAGACATGACGAATTGGAAACAGCTGTTAGCCCGACATCGCCATGGCTGGTTGGAATTCGTGCATCCCACCGAACCCAGCCAATAGCCCTAGCCACCCAAATCCTGATACCGCTCGCCTTGACGAGGACGCGTAACAACAAGTCAACGCACACATACACACACACACGAAAAGCTAATTAGCGAGTGAAAGTGGGATGACAGTCCAGTTATTACCGCCATTCCCGATGCTCGCTGATCTAATCTTAATTAGAGTTTGACCGCGAAATTCACTGCGAGCTCTAATCATGATCAGCTGTAAGGCGTGTTCATAGTCAGCTGACAAGTGCTGAACACCAACTACTAGTTTTGCTAGTTAGTGGTCTTGCAAATTCGACATGAACGGCAACCACAGATGGCGTCACGTTCGTGTCCAAACATGATATTCACGGATGATGAATGTTTAGCCTTGTTAGTTAAACGGATGAAACGGCATGGCAGCACCTCGCACACCGATGCTTTAACAACGCAAGGCTTAGGCCGTCACGGACAAACACGTTAAAAACGTTTTTTAAGCATAAACGGCTTAGATCGTTTATGTGCAAAGCTGTGATACATGAACAATTCGGCGGATTAAAAGTTTGCATTAGTTGGCAAAAGGTTCCAGTCAAGAAAACGATTGCGCTAAACTTTCACAGTTGTAACAAACAGTGGTTTATCGCTGGTATCAAAATACAATGACAAGTAAGCTTGAATACCATTTTGAGAGAAAAAAAATCACAGGGATAAATTGACCTAGGATTTATAAAAAAAACTTTGCTGTGAAGGCGATAAAGCGGCCTAAAGGTAGTGCTTCGGAGAAAACGAACACAGACAAATTTAAAGTCGTTATAACCTAACTTGTGGCGTCACTAGGTATTGGTAGTATACACAAGGTTTGTAATAACGTAAAATCAAAGTCCTCAAGCACTGAAGGTCGGAGTAATGCCTCATTTTTTATCTCCAGTTCATAAGAAGTTAAACGGAGCACAAAAATAGCACATTTTATAGACTTGGTCTAAATCACATGAAGAATAACGAAAGAACGTTAGTAGGAGTTAAATCCTAACTACACACCCTGCTTGCTACACAACTAATAACCTTTAGAAGTTCTGTAAAATGCCAAACAGATCAACTGGTTTTGAAATGTGAACTACTCACAGATATCGATGAAAGTGTTCCGAAGATACTATCAATGGATGCAGGTATATCCAATAATCATTATGGCGAGGGAATGTGCCCGGCTGTACCTTTCTTAGAAATCTGGCATCAAAACATCCGCTGACTGAGGCCTGCACTCGATCGAAATGGATATCGTTCAGACAACCTTTTGCTGGTCCAAAGACAAGTGAGCTGAGAGCACTCTTTCAATTGGCAGACACAAGCTGATGGTTGCCAGAGCGGCATTTAATTGGTTTACGCGTGAGCCAATCCAAATTGTCTGAGGCTGCAGGCATATCGTGCGCGTGTGCGTTTCACTTGCAAAGAATTCAGCACCATTTCCACGTAGTAGATTCTGTCAAAAATGAGGTAATCGAGGCCAGGAGAACGAAGGTTTTAAATCCGGAGCTTTCTAGTATCCGAACTAGTCAAACTCTTCAAAAACTCAAAGGCAACAGCTTTCAAAAGCGATCAGATAAGGAGCCGAGGAAGTTGTTAATTTCACGAAAATTAAAAGGAACCAAGAAAACCGTATTTATCACAATACCTGTTTGTTAGACACAACCACTCCAAGTGTTTAATAAGTAATGATAGGCGTTACAGTTCATTACCTTTGAGCATTGATGCAGATTCCCGAGGAATCAATATTGGAAAATCAATTCAAGAAATTCCGACAAGAGCTCGACTCGTGTCTATTTGCTCTGTTTGAGGAGTTTTTCACTACAACACTCCAGCCATCTTGAAACGCATGGTTTGCTGTCGTCGCGACCTTTAACCACAAGCCTTCAGCTTGCGATCTGGGGCTTCTTTCCGACAAGTTGACCGTGGAAGACAGTTGGCACATTCTTCACAACACAGTCAATCAACAGCAAGTCAGCAGTTGCGGTTGTTTGGGTTGCACATGTCGCTTTGATCATGGTCTTTTCCCACGAACACCGTTTTAAACAATCTACGTTTCATCAACAAAAAATGAGGCGCTTATAGTGGGCTTCATTGCAATTTTCGTTTCAACGACTAAGCGAGAAGGTTAGGCAAAGCGGGTATCAGTTAGGGTTAGCTGATGTGGGCGTTTTGTTACACTCATAACTAATAGCTACAGCCAACCTTGACTGATACCTGCTTCACATCGATATTGGTATATTCAAGACACACATTTGCATTGTAACTGTCGTTTTTGCGCTTATGGAACCTTATTTGTTGATGAATCGAAAGGTCTAGAGCATTAGATTCACGAATGGAAGAACTTTTAATCAGTTTTGCCACAATTGAAGCACTAGTGGGGTTCGAATCGAATTTACTGTCTACCTTTTACTGTGGCCGCTTATAGCAAAAGATTTTTATCTCACACTAAAATGACGCTTTTCGCGAGCGTTATGCGCAACCCAGAATAGGGGAAAAAATTTTTACGATCTATCAGATAAAATAAAAAGCCAGAAATGTGGCTTTTACTGTCAAGTAATTTTATGATGCGCCAATTTGCCATCTAAATTGGAACGCGCATTTGTTGTCATTCGAAAAAGGCTTTTTACTTTCCCTGTAGTTTCTAAAATTTTGTTATTTTGACAATCATATTGACAAGTTGGTTTCAAAAATAGTTGCAAAGACTGATCATATGGCTTGCGCTGGTTAATTAAATAAAGCACACCACCGAATTATGACCTTATTAGTGCCACACTGAGTTGGAGATGACATTTTGAAGTGCATTACATGTCGAATGTGAAGACGTCGGAGCGAATGCAGCACATTCACGTCAATTTTTGCATTTCGGAACTGGTAGAAAAGCTGCATTGGCAGAATTCGTTGTCAACTAAAAGTCACTGTTGGAAAAAATTGTCTTAGGATGTTCGCGGATGTCGATCCGTGTATGAACTTTGCTTTGCAGGCATGTTCTTGTTCAAGTCCTAGTTCACTCAAGAGATCAAAATACTCCAGCTGATTTCCAAGCAGGCGTTTTGGAGTTCAAGATGATGCGACATCAATGGAACTGTTTTGGCCCTTCGCCATGTCAAATTAAATTTAAAAAGATGGATTTCGCTGAATAGAGTGGGAATTTGACACCGGATTTACCTCTGGTCCTTATTTGACGTTAAAACACGTTTCGTTTAACAGATTTAGAATCTGCGTGTTGTGGAGTTGCGGTTTCTACAGTAGTGTGACTTTATGACACCATCATGTGTGTCGTTAGCAGTGTATTCTACTTCACAAAATGCAGTCTAAACCATCCTGTGACCATAATCAGAAGATATAACAAATATGGTTGAATTCGACAACAGATTCAGGATGCTATTCTTGGAATCAGAAGTTCTGACCCGCACGCATCGTAATCCCCACCGGAGGTGGATTATTTAAACTCGAAATATTAAAGTAAGTGTACAAGATCCCTGTCATTCAGAGCTAAGACAGAAAGATAGCAATGTGATTGACTGGGCTCAGGCGAGTAGAGTGAGTCCAAAGGTTGTTGACTTAAAAGAATCTGTGACTCCTTAACGTCGATTGCTGGTAAGCGCATTTTAGCCAGGCGAGAGCTGGGACTTTAAATGTGCTTCTTTGTGAATTCCGGAGTAGTTTCCCTTCAAGTCACAGCTACTTTGAGTTTCTGCCATAGAATGCTTCAAGTGACCGACGTTGAACCTGATTTTCTCTAAGCGACATCGGTGTTCAACAAGTCGTGCATCTTGATGGAACACAGGCGGCAATTTGAAGCTCTTAATTCTTGATTCAGACAAATGACTCAGTTGGTGGGTTAAGAGGAACGGTTGAGAGGTTATGTGGTGCAAATCCACCCGATGATATCAACTGTGCGCGGCAAATGCAACAGCTACATTATTTGTGAGAAGGTTCGCACGGATGTACAAGTTCAGAACATGGCAGGTCCGCGCTCACCTTAGTTTACAATAACTTGTCGCATGCAACAATAAACCTCAGCTAGGCGTAGCTACGTCACAGAATCAAAAGAAAACGCTCCACACCAACCGCCAGACTCCCGTTTTCCGTAGAAAAAATGACTTTTTTTTAGTCTTAAACACTTAATGTCGAAAATGCCAGAATGATTTTGAGTTTAGAGGCCATATGAATTGTCACGCAAATTCAGCCATTGCTGAGTAACAAGTGACGTGTAAGCATAAACAGCCTTTTTGTCACATAAGTCTGTAACAGTTAGCTGTTGGATGCACATAATGGGAAGCATTCACTTATGTCGCAAACAAAACGAAAGATATTTTAAATCATTGATAAATCCAAACGTACGTTGATCAACACAATCTGAGGTGGGGCCAGATCTTACTTGCCAAAGCTAGCTCTGCTGCTTCCATTAACTAGAGTATAATCAACCCTCTACGCCGTCACGGTAATAACTTTCTTTTTTTAAGAAATCCCTTCAAAATTCTAAATTTTACGCAATTTCTGTCATATTGCTGGGACAGAAAGAATGATGCAATTCATGAGGCTCAAAGAGAGATCAAAGGGTGTGTTTTTTCAAACGAAGGCGCCCACATTTGGTCACAAAAATGTAAAGAAAGCCATTGACTGTTGGCGCGTTTCCTAAAACAGTGCGTTAAAATGAAGCCGAAATGTCCCAAAGTCATCTAAAAAGGACCTCGTTAGATAATACTAAGTCGTACCCTCATCAAAAACAAACTTTGGATCTTATTATGTGATTTGTGTTTTTAGATAAGCAGGTCTAACAACCCTTCATCACAATGAGCAGTTAGCTTTAAGAATGCGATATTTTGTTACGTACAATCGCCAAGGCGTTACTCTGAAC